CCATAGTAGCTCTCGAACTCTGTGTTCTTTTACCAGTCATAATTTTGTTACTTACGGTTTTGAAATAAGACTTTTGTATTTGTGTTACCTAGATTTTAAAATCCATGCCCTAATCACCCCATGGCTATATACTAGATAACTAAAGATAGGTCCTCGCCACTAGAGCCTGCTGAATGTATTCAAATTAGCCAATGCTAAGCCGCTTATCCTCCCTTACTTTGCCTTTCTCTGGGAAACCACAATAAAGGTTGTCGTCTATGCTTTCCCCTTGCTCATTCTGCCTCCTGACTTATGGTGGTACTTCTCTGTGTGGCCCTGATTGGCATGGCGTGCCCCCTCGTAGGAACTGTGCATAACAAACTGTCTTCTGTGGCAGTCATCTCCTCATCTGTTGGCCTCACCATACCTGAAGTATAATAAAACCTATATTAAAAAATTTTTTTTTAATATTTATTCATTTTTGAGAGACAGAGACAGTGTGAGCAGGTGAGGGGCAGAGAGAGCGAGACACAGAATCTGAAGCAGGCTCCAGGCTCTGAGCTGTCAGCACAGAGCCTGATGCAGGACTCAAACCCACGGACTGTGAGATCATGACCTGAGCCAAAGTTGGACACTTAACCGACTGAGCCACCCAGGCACCCCTAAACTCTATATTTTAAAAACACTACCACCACTACGATAGACTGAATTGTGTCCCATCAGAATTCATATGTTGAATCTCTAGAGCCCTGTGTAACAATATTTGGAGATGGGACCTTAAGATGGTCATTAGGTTTAGATGAGGTTATAAGGGTGGGGATTTCATTGATGGGATTAGTGGCCTTCTAAGAAGAGACCAGAGAGCTTGCTCTCTCTCACCCTTTACCATGTGAAGATACAGTGAGAAGGGAGCCATCTGCAAGTAAAGAAGAGAACCTTCACCAAACACCATATCTGCCAGCAGCAGCGTCTTGGACCTCCCAACCTCCAGGACTGTGAGGAATAAACTCCATTGTTTTAGCTTCCCAGTCTAAGGTATTGCTATAGCAGCTCAAGCTCATGAGGACAGCCACTCAGCTTAAATCTTTTCAGTGGCTGGGGCAGCTGGGTTGCTCTGTCAGTTAAGTGTCCGACTTCAGCTCAAGTCATGATCTCACTGTTATTTCAAGCCCTGCATCGGGCTCAGAGCCTGGAGCCTTCTTTGGATTCTGTGTGTGTGTGTGTCTCACTCTCTCTCTGCCCGTCCCCTGCTTGTGCTCTATCTCTATCTCTCAAAAATAAATAAGCATTTAAAAAAATCTTTTCAGTGGCTTACCATTGCTTTTAAGATAAAATTAAGATCCCTTTCAGGGGTGCCTGGGTGGCTCAGTTGATTGAGTGTCCGACTTTGGCTCAGGTCATGATCTCGCAGTTCATGGGTTCGAGCCCCACATTGGACTCTGTGCTGACAGCTCAGAGCCTGGAGCCTGCTTTGTATTCTGCGTTTCCCTCTCTTTCTGTCCCTCCTCTGCTCACGCTCTGTCTGTCTCTGTCTCTCAAAAATAAATTCTTAAAGAAGAATCCCTTTCAGTCTAAAACATTTGCCTAATCTATTTGCTGCTTATCTCTCCAGCCTCATTTCATATACTTTCTCTTCATCATTAATTAATCTTCAGTCACAATAAGCATTTTTCATTTCTTTAAATCCCCTTCCTGCAATAGGACCTTTGCATGTTATGTTTCCACTGTTTAGTGGTTCTCCTCTTCCCCCTCAGTTCTTCTTCATCTAACTCATATCTGCATATTTTCTAGGTCTCAGTTTATGTATCACTTCTGTGAGGAAAATCTTTAGGACTCCTTAATTAGGACATGATCATTTTTTGGTCATGGTACACTATACTTTTCCATCATAGCACTTATACTTAAATATTTGTGCAATTAATTATTTAGTGTCTTTCACCTTGGCTAGATTGTAAAGCATCATGAAAGCAAGGATTATCTTATCTCCTGCACATAACATAGTTCCAAGCACTTAGTAGGTGCTTGATAAGTGTTTGCCAAATGAATGAGTAAAAGAATGACAGCAATTATTTCAACTGCCTTTTATAAACTATATAGATAGGCCTGTGGGATAATACAGAGAAAACAGATCTTTTTATGTCCTACCCTCCAAATATATGAGTAGAAGATCCCCCTGAATGAGCCATTTAAGTACCTCAGTACTACATTGCAGAAAGGCCAAATAGTTATGCAAGTATTTTACTAATGCATGAAAACTGAATTAAAGAAGATATAAGTGCAAAAGATGTTTACTATAAAGCCAGGAGATCCTGGTTCACAATTTTAGATAGAGGAATTGTCTGTATATCATAAACCTTGTGGTAGATTTATCTGCAGCAAACTGTGGTACTGTGCCAGCCTTTTTGAACATATAAAGGTGATTCAAGTGAAAGGTTTGGAGGCAGCATATGTTCCAGAGTCAGTTCAAAATCTGGTTTCGTTACTGGGGTGCCTGGATGGCTCAGTTGGTTAAGCATTGGACTCTTTTTTTAAAAAAAAATTTTAATGTTTATTTTTGAGAGAGAGAAAGAGCGTGAACAGGGGAAGAGCAGAGAGAGAGGGAGACACAGAACCTGAAGCAGGCTCCAGGCTCAGAGCTGTCAGCACAGGGCCCAACGTGGGGCTTAAACTCATGAGCTGTGAGATCATGACCTGAGCTGAAGTCTGATACTTAGCTGACTGAGCCATCCAGGTGACCCTTAGCATCTGACTCTTGATCTCAGCTCAGGTCTTGATCTCAGGGTCATGAGTTCAAACCCTGCATTGGATTCCAAACTGGGCATGAAGCCTACTTTTAAAAATCTGGTTTCGTAAAATAAAAAAATCTGGTTTCATTACTTACTAGCTCTGTAATCTTGAACAAATCATTTAAATTGTCTAAACCTCAGTGTTCTCATTTTGGAATGGAGATAGTAGGACTTATCTTAGAATTGTTGTTAAAATTAAATGAGATAATGAATGTAAGACATTTAACCTTAAGACACTGCATATGCTATTTCATTATTCCAGTAATTTACTAGAATATACCACTTGGCATAAACCCTCTTCCTTCTTCCTAGAATGTACTTATCTACCACCCCATTGCACTTCCTGCACCACCTTCTCTGGCTTCAGTGTGTCCCTTTATATATTTATATATCTTAATGTATTTATATATATATATATATCTTTATACATTTTAAAATTTTTATTTGTCTTAATGTATTTATATATATGTATCTTTATACATTTTTAAATTTTTATTTAAATCCAGGTTAGTTAATATATAGTGTAATAATGGTTTCAGTAGTAGAATTCAGTGATCCTCACTTACATATAACACTCAGTGCTCATCCCAGTAAGTGCCCTCCTTAGTACCCACCACCCAGTAGCCCATCCCCCACCCACCTCCCCTCCTGCAGCCCTTAGTTTGTTCTCTGTATTTAAGAGTCATGGGGGGGCGCCTGGGTGGCTTAGTCGGTTAAGCGTCCGACTTTCGCTTAGGTCATGATCTCGCGGTTCGTGGGTTCGAGCCCCGCGTTGGGCCCTGTGCTGACTGCCAGCTCGGAGCCTGGAGCCTGTTTCAGTCTGTGACTCCCTCTCTCTCTGACCCTCCCCTGCTCACGCTGTCTCTCTCTCTCTCAGAAATAAATAAAACATTAAAAAAAAAATTTAAAAAGAGTCATGGGGCGCCTGGGTGGCTCAGTCAGTTAAGCGTCTGACTTTGGCACAGGTCATGATCTCACAGTCCATGAGCTCGAGCTCCACATCGGTCTCTGAACTATCTCTGCTGACAGCTCAGAGCCTGGAGCCTGCTTCGGATTCTGTGTTTCCTCTCTCTCTCTCTCTGCCCCTCCTCCATTTGCACTCTGTCTCTCTCTCAAAAATAAATAAACATTAAGAACTTTTAAAAAAAAAGTCTCTTACAGTTGGCAAAATGGAATCTTTATATTTAAGCACATGTTTTTTATTCCCTCCACCTCACTAGACTGAATCCCTCAATGGTATTGACTATATCTTGTTTTCATTATATCCTCAGCAACTAACTTCTGTAGGATTGGTTTAAGGATTAGAAACAACCTATCTGCAACATTTAGCTTAATATGTAGGTTGTAGTTGCATACATAGTAGCTATAATTATTATTGCTAATAATAATATTTTTCAGAAACATAGGTTACTTAGATTAACCAAATGACTTTTCCAGCCATTAATATCCCTTCTTATGTATATGAGTGGACATTTTATCCATCTTAGGTGTTCTGGGAAAAGGGAAAATGCAAAAGAACATTGATAGGACCTACAGACCTATAGATGGCAGACATCATTCTTTCCTGGAAGTATGATATTGTAGTTTGTGGTACTGAATGATCTGAGCTACCTAGTGAGTCAGGCATCCTCCTTAGGTGTGTACATTAGGATAGATGGATGGATAAGCTTCTTTGTTCAGCAACAGTAGATCATAGACAGAAGGCAGGGAAAGGGGGAAGAAAGGCAGGCCACTCCAGGTTGGTAGTTGGCAGTTTTAATAAGCAGAGAGTACTTACATACAAGGCTTGTCTTGGGCGGCAGCAATGGGTCCTCCCACCTGCCCACCAAATCTTAAAAATGTGTACAGAGACCTTAGTTAGTTAGGTTCAGTAAGGTATACCTTGCAGGTGTTTTCAACACCGCGTCACTATCTCAAGGCTACCACATCATTGTCTAAAACTGTGTCCTTGGAACTCCCTCAGGGAGCAGGAAAAGCAGAGTCCTATTCCAAGAACAGGGGAAAGTGAGGAGCCCCCAGTTGCCTGAGTCCAGCTCACAGGTCAACTGACGATCACTTCCTTTCAGTGACCTTCCGCAACACTCAGAGTAAATTAGATGTTAAATATATGAGACAATTAGTAAAAGATATTAGATAATAAGAGGTGACTATCATAATCATTCTGATGTTTTATTTTTATTTGCATAATAATTGCACCTCTACAATATTCAAGTCCTCTTTCTTTGTTTCTTATAGCTATTGGATGAACTCCCAATGATTTACAGCTGTTGTATATTTGTGTACTGCATGTAAGTACTTAACATTTAAAATTCAGTTTGATATATTTTTAAATTCATATTCACTTCATACTGAATTAAGTAATATAGTTGACCCTGTTATATTACTGGGAGATTGTAATAGTGTAGAAGGCTTTAACTTCTATGATCTCCATATAAAGTATACTATCTGGGAAGCCATAATAATGTTTATTAACTTTTATGATCTCAAAACCCTATAGCCAGTTTAGATACCCTCCCTTAAATTTGACTTGTGTAATCTGCCTTTCCTTGAGTTATGAATGTACACAAATTAAAAAAAATTTTTGTAATGTTTATCTTTGAGAGAGCAAGAGAGACAGAGTGTGAGCAGGAAAGGAGCAGAGAGAGAGAGGGAGACATGGAATCCAAAGCAGGCTCCAGGTTCTGAGCTGTTAACACAGAACCCGAAGCGGGGCCTGAACTCACAAACCATGAGATCATGACCTGAGCCAAAGTTGGTTGGACATTTAACCTGCTGAGCCACCCAGGCACCCGTACAAATTTATTTTTATTAAAAAAGTTTTTAAGTTTATTAAGGAATAAACACAGGGGAGGGGCAAAGAGAGAGGGAGGAGAGAGAATCCTAAGCAGGCTTCATGCTGAGAGTACAGAGCTCCATCTCATGAACCCATGAGATTATGAACTGAGCCAAAATCAAGAGTCAGACACATAACAAACTGAGCCACCCAGGCACCCTGAGTGTATACAAATTAGGTAAAAAATTTTATATAGTAATGCCATAAAAATGAGATTTATGTACTTTGTACCTGTAATTGTGCTAAGCAGTGTACAAGTCATCTCTGATTCAGTTGTATAAGATAAATCGGTATTATCCCCATTTTATAGATGATGAAGTAAAGCACAGATTGATTAGTAACTTGTCTAAGGACATAAGCAGAGCTTGTGCTTAGGTGACTTGCCTAAGGCTGTGTAGTTTTAAGTGTCAGAGTTGAAAAGTGAACTACAAGTTTAATAACCTTACTTCTAAGTATGCCTTCAGTTCCCAGCACTAGTACTTAAAATTTCTCTAAACCCTTATGATGGTTTTCTGATTCTTTTCAATGGGATCATCATTGCTAGTTCAAGAATATTTTCTTCTAAAGACATCTAAAAATCAGAATCATTTGAGAAAATATATTACTAAAAAAGCTCATCTGAAATTTTTTCTCTAAAGGGACAGATAGTAATTATTTAGGTTTTGTGGGCCTGCTGTCTCTGTCGCAGATCTTCAGCTCTGCGTTTGTAGCATTGAAGCCATAGGTAATGGGTAAACAAATGCATGTGGCTGTTCCAGTAAAAGTTTATTTACCCAAAAGAGCTTGAGCCCTTGGGCGGTAGTTTGTTGCTCCAGATCTGGAAAAATACCTTCAGGTAAGCTTTTTTTTTTTAAAAATAAGTCATCAAGTCACAGAACTTAAAGGTAAAAGAGATCTTAGAAATAATGTGGACCAGGACTGCTTGGGTGGCGCTATTGGTTAACCGTCTGACTTCAGCTCAGGTCACGATCTGGCAGTTCATGGGTTCGAGCCCTGCAATTGGCTCTGACTGTGGAGCCTGCTTGGAATTCTCTCTCTCTCCCTCTCTCTGCTCCTTCCCCACTTGCTCTCTCTCTCTCTCTCTCAAGATAAATAATTAAGCTTTAAAAAAAAAAAAAAGGAAAGCGAAGAAATAATGTGGGCCAACCACCTTTCTATAGAGATAAGGAAATAGGAGTTGGGTCCAGTTCCCACAGCCAATTAATTAGTGAACAGAGAGCGTTCCTGCTGTTTGTACTAAAACATAGGCTCAACCAATAGTCAAATATTTGTTCATATTTCTATCTATTGAGTATTTACTGTATGTTAGATACTAGCCTAGTGATTAAATACATGAGAAAAAGATTTTAGCCCTGCACACAGGTCATTCACAGTCTGGTTGAGGAGACCGGTAAAGAGACCATTATAATAACAGTGATATTTTCTGTAATAGCGTGCCTTAGGCAGGACAGCTCACAAGATTTAGAAACCTACCCAAGCCAGCTTGAGTTAAGAGAAATTTATTTATTTTAGGGACATAAGGAAATATATGAAACCCAATAGCAGGAAGTATAGCCTGGCTATAACTCAAGGGCAGATTCTCTCCTCTGCTCTTTTCCCCATTTCTTCTTCTCCACATGGTCTCAAGTCTTTGAATCTGCTCTGTTTTCCTCTCCATGCAGATCACTGCTCTGCTCATTCATCTTCTTGTTCATTCAATTTAGCTGCTCAAGTATCAGCATCAGATTTTCAATCCATAAGCTTTATACTTTGACTCTGCACACTTAATTGATTCAGTCTCTGGCTGCCAAATTCCCATGTTTTCAGGAGAGCGCCTCTCATTGTCCCAGTTTAAGCCAGGTGCCTGCTCCCAGTTCACCCAGCCTCTTGGAGGCAGTGCAAGTTCTCTAAGATGAGAGTTTGGGAGGGAGGAAGTGATGGGCATCACTAGAGCCAGAGGTGTGTATACAAGTGGTCAAGCAGTGTTCTGTTGTGTTTTCCTGGTTAATATTCTAAAACAAGTTTCTTTCTCTGTTCTTTTAAAGGTTTGAATGTTTCAAGATGAAGAACTCTGTAAACTACCATCTGCTTTTTATCTTAGTTCTTTTCAGTTTAATAGTAACCACAGTAAGTCATATTTTGTTTCTAACAGATTAAGCATGGGAACCAGCCATTTTTGGAGTTTGGCAAATTTTACTAACAGTGTTTGCTTCATGCTGTTCAAACTGAAATGTTTCTACACAAAACTCACAGATACCGTTTGTCTCCTGTTTAGGTGTTATTTTTCAACAAAAAGTTGAAACAGCTTTTAAAAAATCTGTTTAGTTAGTTATTTATTTGAAGGGAGAAGAAGTCAAAGGGCAAATATTTAGTAGCAATGGGGAAAAAATTAACTTCTTTTTATAGATGGACATAGTAGCTCCCATTTGTTAACAGAAAGTGATTGATTCTGCTCTGTTGGGCCCAGTGTGAGTATTTTAATGGTTAACTTTTTCCTGAGTTCCTGGTCAGGAACTTTCCTGATAATAAGTTCCTGGTCACTTCTCATCCTATCGTAGTGCTTTTTTCCCTCAAGTAAAGTGCATTTTGTATTAAGAGACAATTCATTTCAACAAATGTATTGCAAACTTACCATATCAAGTGGTAGAAAATACAAAGATGGCTATGAAGCAGCTGCTATACTTAAGGAATGCATTCAAGTAGAGAAATAAAACGTGTAAGCAAACAGTTGAATCAAAAGATGGTAATTACAATAATAATGATAAAAACTAGTTAAATGATGATGAGATGATGACACATCAATGAAAATTACTTGGGTGGGTCAAGAAAGGGTCCTTTTAACTGACTTTTAACTGATGATTAAAAGTTTGCCAGGCCCCTGGGGCAAGCATTTATGAAGACTGTTACATTGTCCCTAAGCACAGAACCTTGGAACAACATAATAAACTATCATTTTTAAGTGCCTACTATGTTCCAGGTACTACACTGAGTATTTTCTCGTTAAATCATTACTACCAGCAGAATTGGGAGAAATATAATATGGCTGGAGCATGTTAAATGGTGAGGAGTGAATGAGTCTAGTTAATGAGGTAAATGTCAGATTATAAAGTCCCTTGTGTACACTTAGATTTTTGTCTTCAAGGTAGTTTGAAGCCATTAACGGATCTATAGCCGAGGAAGAACGTGGTTAGATATGTGTTTTAGAAAGATGACTGGTTTTAGGGGATGGATTAGAGGAGTATGAGGCTAGACTCAGGGACTTTTGCATTTGCTTAGGCAAAGTGTAAGACTCGGACTGAAGTAAAATAGGTGTGGGGATGAAAAGAAGCTGTCGTAGGGGCACCTTGCTGGCTCAGTCAGTAAAGCTGCGTGACTCTTGATCTACGGGTTGTAGGTTTGAGTCCCACATTGGGTGTAGAGATTACTTAAAAAAATAAAATCTTAAAAAAAAAAAAAAGAAGCTGTCATAATAACAAATCCATAAGACTTGTGACCCACCAAGTAGAGGGTATGGGTATGGGGTAAAAAGAAGGAATTGTCTAGAATGATGCCTCTGTTTATGACCTGGACATCATGATACATACTAGGTTCTTAACCAAGATAGAAAACTTGGAGGAAGAGCAGATTTTGCAGGGACGATAATGAGTAGGTTTGTGTCATGGAGTAGAGGTAGATAAATTCACTTTGGACTCTGTTGACATTGAGATGCCCGGTGTTAATGACATCTAAGGCTTCTCTTAACAGGTAGGCTGAGCTAAAGATGTGGGTTTGAGAATTGTCAGGCTGTGGGTAGTACTAGAAATGTGGAAATAGATGATCTGGCACAGAGATAGCACGAACCATTAAAATGACCACAGATGCAACCCTATGGAACACTTTTTTTTTAAACAGAGATAAATAAGAATATACATTTATGACACTTTACCCTAAAAGTTCTAAAAGTTACAGTTGATTTGTCTATTTGACATTCACAGCCTGTTACTATGTAAACTTTCATAATGCCTAAGGATTTCAATGAGTCAACACTTTAAAAATAAAAGTTATATACCTTCAAGGTGTACAACATGATGATTTGATATGCATAGTGAAATGACTACTACAGGCAAGCTGATTAACATATCTTCTCACATAGTTGCCGTGTGTGTGTGTGTGTGTGTGTGTGTGTGTGTGTGTGTGAGAGAGAGAGAGAGAGAGAGAGAGAAGACCACCTGAAATCTTTTCTCTTAGTAAATTGCCAGTATTCAGCCCAGTATTAGCTATAATCACCATGCTATACATAGGAACACTGACATTTGAGGGTCAGGTAGAAGAAATGGAGCCAGCCAAGGAGACTGAGAACAAGTAATCAGAAATGTAGGAAACATAGAGAACCTGATATCACAAAGTAAAAGAGCTTTCCAGAAAGAGTAACAGTATTAGTTGCCACTGAGAGGATGAATAAAATAAGATTGAAGTTTGACCCATAAAAATTTCAGTGAAAAAAACAAATAACCATAATAAGGATACTGTCAGCAATAGATTGATGGAAGCAGAAGTTAGATTATCAGTGAGCTGAGAAGGCAAATAGGAGGTTGAATGAATAGATACACTGTTTTCTTATGCTTCTACACTGCCCTGCAGCGTCCTTTGCATAAACTACATACTCCTTGATGGTGAGAGAATCCTCATGTTTCAGACATGAAAGGAAGTCTTGTTATTGTAAAAAAAAGAAGAGAACAAAGTCCAGAGAGTTTTAATGACTTGCCTGGCCGGCCAAGTTCATATGGAGAATTGGTGGCAGTCAAGACTGGACCACTTTGTAAGTTAAGCACTGATGTGGTTGGAAACCTGGGTTTGGGAGTCGATCAGATCTGAGTGTGAACCAAAACTTAACTGGAAACCTTAGGCAAGTCACTTAATCTCTCTGCATTAGTTTCCTTGTCTGTAAGATGAAGAAAATAATAACATACGTTTCATGTTAGGAAAATTAATACTTGGCACATAGTAACGATTCCATAATTCTTTTGCCTTAAAAAAAAGTCTTAAAGGGCATGCCCTTTTGGATTTCTCCTATTAATAACGATGGGAATATGAAACTATACAAAGGAACATTATTATTTTGACAACACATTTCAGAGATTAAATGCATTCTTCCTTGCTGAGTTTAGAGTTACAGATAGATAGTGTTTCATACACATCTTCCTATTAAAGCTGTATGGCTGCTTAAAGGGAATAATCTGCTGTTATTGTAGTGAGAGTAGGAACTTCTTATAGGAATAAGAAATTTTGTAGCCAAGTTGTAAAATTACATAAAATTTTGTGAGATCAGCACTACATTCAATGAGGAGTTAGAGATATCTACCTTACTGTCAAAGAGATTATTGCCTCGTAGGGGAGAGAAACAAACCAATACATTACATGATGTTTATACATGGTCAGTGAGGGCATGAGGGAGGGTGAGTGACAGCTCCTGTTGAGTAGAGAAAGAACCAGATAAGACTTCAAGAAAGAGGGATACTTTGAGCTGAATCTTAGAAGATGAATGTTTGCAAGGTAGGGAGAATTTCTGAGGAAAGTGAAGAGCAGCATGTTTAAAGATGTGGAAGTATTAAACTAGTACCTTTGGAGAAGTATGGTACTTTTTGGAGCCTAGGATATAAAAGGGACAAGAGGGGAGCAATGAAGCCAAACAGAAAGTCAGGAGTGAGATCATGGAAGGCTTTGAAATTTGGACTTGTCTTGTAAGTGATGGGAGTCATTCCAGGATTATGATTTGAATTTTGATTTCTCTTTACCATGTCATTTAAAGGCATACTCTTAAAGGGCAGTAAATGCATGCTAAATCTTAAATGAGCATTGAACTTAATCACCCACATGACGCTGGAACCTAAAACTAGGGTTTGTGTAACTGGGAATGCATCTAAGTAATGAGTTCTGCATCTTGGTGAGTGGGTTTAGAGTCTTTGGAAGTAAAAGAAAATATAAGAAATTTGTTTTCAGTGTATTCAGTTATTGAGCATGTATTATATGCTGAACACTTTCACATCTTTTAGCTTATTGTTCCCCATTACTGTTATTCCCATTCTCCAGATAAGGAAAAAAATGAGTCTTTTGGTTAAGTGACTTGCTCAAGGTATGTAGCAAGTAAGTGGCAGAGTCTGAAGTTTAAGTCCAGTATTCTTTCTGCTGAAGAAAAAAAATGTATTACAGGCACTGTCAAGAGAACCTCTTCAACCCTTATGAGTAAACTGTGCATCTCTGCCCATCCTTGACGTTGATGCAGAGGCCAAGAGGCCAGAGTAATCCACAACAGCCTTGAAACATTTAGTTACCACGGTCAAGCTAGGCCTGCAGGAGACCCGCCAGTAGGTACTAGCCCTTCTGTGGTTTTACACGGCTGGAGTCTGATTTAAATGACAGGACTAGGAAGCAGAGATGTTTGGGATTTGCAGAATTGTTGGAAAAGGTTTTCTTTCCCCTCAATAATGCACTTCATTCACATGTGTTTCTTTTAATATTTTGTAGGTTTACCTTAAGGTAAAGGAGCCTGTATTCCATCAGGTAAATTAAAAAATTTAAGCACTTAATTCTTTAAGAGCACCTGCCTGCATTGTGTTTCCTTTTCTGGTAAATTGTATACAGATATAATTTCTGAGAACAAAGTGGTAGATGTCCTATGAAAGTATTTAAAACAAACTCAAGTGCCTATAGGACACCAGTGCCCAGACTCAGCTGATTGTTGTAGTCAGTAAGGCCAGTACAGTCTTCCTCCTATAAGCAGAAAAAAAGAAAGCATTTATACACATACACATACAAAGTCTTTTTTATGACACTGTTTTCTAGAAAAGATAGACTGCAAGGTCCTTGAATATTTTCCTCATAATGTCTATTTTAATGAGTTTTTTGAGATGTGAGGTTAATTTACATTGAGAAAAGCAAACACAGGAAACTTAGCTAGAGGAAATAATGATTTAAGTGCATCCCATAACGGAACCAGAGTAAAATCAAGTAGTAGACCCCAAATAAAGAGAGCTCTTGTTAGTTGAGTGCTCCCGTGTGCCTGGCACTATGCCTGTTACTGCACGACTCTAATCTCCTGAGCAGTTCTACGAATTAGGGACTGTTGTTCACATTGTAAGGGAAATGAGCTCAGAGATACTGAGAATTTGCCCAATGGTTACACAGTTACTAAGGGACAGAGCCAGGATTGTAACCTAGATTTGTTGGACTCCTGTCACCATTCTTTTAAAAAACTAGCAAACAAACAATACATAAATAAGGACACTTTTCAGGAGTACCAGAAGCCTTGTAATTTTAGAATATTTTGTGTTATAGAAAAAGTAAGTGTTCCTGTACTTTTTAAGCTTAAACCAGATAATAATCATCTTGCCGAAATCTGCTTTTTGAAATCAATTCCAAAACCACATTATTGTGCCTTGATATTTTCTACAGACAAGCTAAAAGTAGATGTTATAAGAAGGACATCTTCACTTTCTGTTTATTTTAGCTTGAAGTAGGTCATTATGGAATTACCTCTTTATTTAGAAAGATTTATTGACGCAGCGTAAAGAATGAAGTTTGCTTATAAGAAAATGACCAGCTTTTGTAAATTTCTTATTTGTCTTTATAAGAGAGAAAAATCATAACCACACCAAAAAAGTTTGGAAATTTGTGGTTAATTTTTGTAAGTTTATGGCCATCCATTTTCCATTTTGTGTTTTAGAACTATTTTACACTATGTTTATATATAATGAAAATATCAAACTATTCATCTAACTTCCCATGCTGCAACTTTATGTGTTTTTTTCCAGTAGTACTTTTTTCCCTCAATGGATAGTGTTATGTATGGATGTTTGCTGATAGGAAGGGAGACAGGATGAAAGCTTATAGTTACGGGTTTTATCTTAAGCCTTCTCAGGAGACAAGTAAAGAAGTAGAGGAATGCTAGGGTGAAGTGGATATGTAGTCTGCAGGCCGAAGACTTCATTCACTCAACAGGTGTCACTATGTACCTTCTCGGTACCAAATTCTGAGCTGGAAGTTGGAAATAGGCGGCAAACCAAAAATTTGAAGATAAAGTCAGGCAGACCTGGGTTTAAATCTAGTCTCTCTACTTACTAGCTGTATGGTCAGAACAAGTTTCTTAACTTCATTGAGCTTTGGTTTCCTCATTATGTCTCAAACACTTTTTAAGTGCCTTCTATTGCCAGGTACTGTACTAGGCGTAAGAGATACACTATTGAATAAAATAACAAGGTCCCTGCTCTTAAGAGCTCATTATACTCTGTCTCTTAAATCAATATAATAACTTCTTAAGGTTGTCTGAAGATTAAATGAGATCATGCAGGGGAGCCTGGCTGGCTCAGTCTGTAGAGCATATGACTCTTGATCTTTGGGTTGTAACTTTGAGCCCTATGAGGGGTGTAGAGATTAATTAAAAATAAATCTTTAAAAAAATAAATCAATAAAAAATAAATGAGGTGATGTATATCTCCTACCATGGGAAGCACTCAATAAATGTTAATTAATATTAATAAACCAAGGCAAATGAGACATGGTTGCTGCTCTCAAGGAACTCGCTGGTCAGGAACATAGACTTGTAAAAAAAAAAAATTTATAGGGGTACCTCGGTGGCTCAGCTAAGTGTCCCACTATGGCTCAGGTCACGATCTTGTGGTTCATGGGTTCAAGACTCGTGTTGGGCTCTGAGCTCATGGCCCACAGCCTGGAACCTGCTTCAGACTCTGTGTACCCCTCTCTCTGTGCCCCTCCCCTGCTTACATTCTGTCGTTCTCTCTCTCTCAAAAATAAACATTAAAAAAATTTTAGGGAGAGGAGGCAAGATGGCAGAGAAATCGGGAGCTCTGTGCATTTCCCTCGCCCCCATCTCTCAAACAGAGAAGGCCTGAAGCCATAGGACGCTAAACTGCAGGAGTTTGGGAGGAAAAGAGACAGAGTACACTGGGAAGGCAACTTCATAGAGCTACCTCAAAAAACAAGCTAAAGTACACATGGTGGAGAGTCCCAAATACCACTACAAGTAGGGAAGTAAAATAACCAAACAACAAGAGAGACCAAGAGACACCATTAAAAGAACACTTCCTGGACAGTCAATGAGACTTCTTTAATATAGCAGTACTCGCAGGTGCAGAGTGCATAACAAGCTTTTAAAGCTAACAAGAGACAGAAAGGTAGCCAAAATGATGAAATGGAAGAACTCTCCTCCAAAGAAATCCCAGGAAGAAATGACAGCTAAACAGATGCTCAAAACAGATATAAGCAACATAACTGAACAAGAATTTAGAACAATGGTCATAAAATTAATTGCTGGGCTTGAAAAAGTCATGGAAGACATGAGAGAAGCTATTGCTACAAAGACTATGGAGCTTAAAAATAGTTGTGATAAATTAAAAACTGCTATAAATGAGGTGCATAATAAAATGGAGGTATTCAATGCTCTGATTGAAGAGGCAGAGAGGAGAATAGGTGAATTAGAAGACACAATGATAGAAAAAGAGGAAGCCAAGAAAAAGAGAGATAAACTGATCCAGGAACACAAATGGAGAGTTTGAGAGCTGAGTAATACAATCAAACAGAACAATATCCCTATCATAGGAATTCTAGAAGATGAAGAGAGAGAAAAAGGCACTGAAGGGGTACTTGAACAAAGTATAGCTCAGAATACCCCCAATCTGGGGAGGGAAACAGACATTGGAATCCTGGAGGCACAGGGAACTCCCCTCAGATCTAACTTGAATCGATCTTCTGCATGACATATCATAGTGAAACTGGCAAAACATAAAGACAAAGAGAATTCTGAAAGCAGCTGGGGATAAAAGGGCCCTAACATACAAACGCAGACCTATCAGAGTAGTTACAGACCTATCTATTGAAATTTGGCAGGCCAGAAAGGAATGGCAGGAGATCTTCAGTGTGATGAACAGAAAAATATGCAGCCAAGAATTCTCTATCCAGCAAGCCTGCCATTCAGAATAGAAGGAGAGATAAAAGTCTTCCCAAATAAACAAATCTGAAAGAATTCGTCACCACTAAACCAGTCTTACAAGAAATCTTGAGGGGGCCTCTATTAGGGAAATGTTGCAAGGAATGCAAGGTACCAAAGACATCACCACAAGCATGAATGCTACAAAGAACACAATGACTCTAAACCCATATTTTTCAATAATAACACTGAATGTAAATGGACTAAATGTTCCAATCAAAAGACATAGGGTAGGAGAATGGATAAAAAAACAAATCCATATATTTGCTGTCTACAAGAGACTCATTTTAGGCCTGAGGACACCTTCAGATTGAAAGTAAGGGGATGGAGATATATCTATCATGCTACTGGAAGTCAAAAGAAAGCTGGAGTAGCCATACTTATATCAGACAAACTGGACTTAAAAGTAAAGGCAGTAACAAGGGATGAAGAAGGGCATTGTATAATAATTACAGGGTCTATCCATCAGGAAGAGCTAACAATTATAAGTGTCTACGCACTGAATATGGGAGCACCCAAATACATAAAATGATTAATCACAAACAGAAACAATCTTATGGATAAGAATTATAGCAGGGGACTTTAATACTCTACTTACAGCAATGTATAGATCAACTAGACAGAAAATCACTAAAGAAACAATGGACTTGAATGATACTTGGACCAGATGGATTTGACAGATCTATTTAGAACTTTACATCCTGAGGCTATGCAATTTGCTTTCTTCTCAAGTGCGCATGGCACATTTTCCAAGGTAGGTCACATACTGGGCCAGAAAGCAGCCCCCAATAAATATAAAAGAATTGAGATCATACCATGCACATTTTCAGATCACAATGCTATGAAACTTGAAATCAACCACAGGAAAAAGTCTGGAAAACCTCCAAATACATAGAGGTTAAAGAACACTGTACTAAAGAACAAATAGACCAATCAGGCAATTAGAGAAGAAATCTAAAAATATATGGAAACAAATGAAAATATAACTATCCAAACTCTTTGGGATGTGGCAAAGGCGGTCCTAAGAGGAAAGTACATTGCACTCCAGGCCTATTTCAAGAAACTGGAAAAAGCGCAAATACAAACTCTAACAGTGCACCTAAAGGAACTAGAAGGAGAGCAACAAGAGCACCCCAAACCCAGCAGGAGAAGACAAATAATAAAATTCAGGGCGGAAATAAACAATATAGAAACCAAAAAAACAGATCAATGAAACCAAGAGTTGGCTTTTTTGAAAAAGTTGATAAACCTCTAGCCAGCCTTCTCAAAAAGAAGAGAGAGAGGACCCAAATAGACAAAACCATGAACCATCTGGAGTTATTACAACCAATCCCTCAGAAATACAACCAATCATCAGGGAGTACTATTTGAAAAATTATATGCCAATAAATTGGACAACCTATAAGAAATGGACAAATTCCTAAACACACACACACTACTAAATTTCCCAAAGGAAGAGATAGAAAATCTGAGCAGACCCATTACTAGTGAAGAAATTGAATCAGTTATCAAAAACTCACAACAAATAAGAGACCTGGGCCAGATGGCTTCCCTGGGG